AATTTGTAGCAATTTACAAGTTGAAGTTAAGCCGAGATTATTCCTTAATTCACTATTAAATTTGTAGCAATTTACAAGTTGAAGTTAAGCGATTCCTTATCTTCACTTGTTGAAATTTGTAGCAATTTACAAGTTGAAGTTAAGCCGAGATTATTCCTTAATTCACTTGTTGAAATTTGTAGCAATTTACAAGTTGGAATTAAGCTGATTCCTTATCTTCACTTGTTGAAATTTGTAGCAATTTTACAAGTTGAAGTTAAGTCGAGATATTCCTTAATTCACTTGTTGAAATTTGTAGCAATTTACAAGTTGGAATTAAGCTGATTCCTTATCTTCATTTGTTGAAATTTTGTAGCAATTTACAAGTTGAAGTTAAGCCGAGATTATTCCTTAATTCACTTGTTGAAATTTGTAGCAATTTTACAAGTTGGAATTAAGCTGATCCCTTATCTTCACTTGTTGAAATTATAGCAATTTACAAGTTGAAGTTAAGCCGAGATTATTCCTTAATTCACTTGTTGAAATTTGTAGCAATTTACAAGTTGAAGCTAAGCCGAGGTTATTACTTAAGTTCTCATAGCAATATATGGGTTGCTTAAACCTAAGGAAGATGCTTACACTTGTTGAAATTTGTAGTAATTTACAAGTTTATGTTAAGCCGACATATGATCACCCGCTGAGGTATACAGAAATTTACAGGTTGAAGTAAAGGCTAAGTATATTGTTTACTACTTGTTGACCATAATAGGCCTATCCTCCAGAGTTAGTTTAGGGGCCCATGGAACGTCGGGCTTCTTGGACGCTGAGGTCGTCGCAGACGAAGACCTCGGCTTTTTTGATTGTGTAGACCCTGAGGGTTGGGCTTCAGCAGACCTCCTTGGTTGGAAGCAGGGTTGATTTTTTGGCTTTCTGCCAGCTGGGAGATAGGCAAAGCATCCTCAACCTCGGCGTCAGTAGCCTTGGGCTTGGGCTGAGCCTTTTTTACTCTCTTCGGCTTTGGTGGGGGCATCGCATGCGTTGGTACAGCATCGGCGTCAGTTGGAAGGTCGGCAAGAAGATCTTGAACGACAGGCCTTGGACGAACCATCTCGGCAGTCTTTACAAGTCTTCGTCGACGTTTACGTTCTGGAATTGGTATTAAGTAGGGGGCCGAAGTTGATGGAAGATCGGCTGGGTCAGAGGTGGATCCTTGATCTGTTCGGGATGAAGAAGCGGTTACAGTTGTAGCAGTAGGTGGAGAGAGACTCTTTTTCTTCCTTTTTGGGATGTCGGGTAAAGTGGATTTATATGTAGGGATGAAGTTTAGTAACAGTGGGGCTTTTCGTTTATGGACTGGAAGGTCAAGGAGTTTTTTCAGATCTGTTCCTGGGAAGAAGGATTGACGGAAGTTTTTCGGTGGCTGATGAAGATCTGCAGGACAAAGAAACAGACGTCAGAAACAGAAAGTATTAAAGACTTAAATAAAAACAACTAAGTGTTGGCTCAGGGCTCTTACCCTTGCCCTCTTTTACTGTTCGAGGAAGAGGGTAGAGGTGGACATCTTCATCTGGGCCAAATTCCCAATTTCCCGAAGTGATAACAAAGTCATCCCCAGCCCCCTTGTTGGAGTCTGGGAGGTCGGCAACAATTTTGTACTTGGTAGACCTCGGCTTAAGGTAATAAACAAAGTCCCTTTCCTTCAGGTTGAGGGGGCACATTGTATAACAGTACTGAAGGTCGGCCAGGGTGATCCTAAGATTCTCTTGCATAGCTAAAGCTATAATACCGTTAATCACCCTATAGGAGTTGATAGTAAGTTGCATGGGGTTCAGCTTGTAGAAATAAAGAACTTCACGAAACAGGGGATTCAGTGGAGGCCGAAGTCCACATTCGGTGAAAGCTACTATAGGAAAGGGCATCGTATGGTCTGTGGGCATAATGGTATCATTATCCCCAGCTAGCTTAAGTTGAACATCGACTGGGATAGAGAATTCTTGCCTAAAGTATTCGAGTTTTGTTGGGGTATTAACCCTATGCCTCCACATATCCATTACGTCGACTTAAACAAAAGAAGAATGTATTTCAGAAGATGGGCGTTTAAAGAAAGGATGCAAGAACCTCGGCAAAGACCTATAAAGGGACTGACAAGGCTTGTTTCAGTTTTCCCTAAAAAATTGAAGGTTCTACACAGAAACTCCCAAGCCAAAGAACTATAAAGATCAAAATCGAAGGCACAGATCTGAAACAGATACAAAAAATCAAGAAAACAATGGCAAAGTTTCAGATTCAAGAACAATGGTGGGCTATCAGAAACACGAAGAATACAAAAGTCAAGAATTATGGCAAGAAAAGTGGTGAAATAGTGCAAATATTCAAAATGTAGCCACGATTCAAAATACAAACGAATCCAAGGCTTTGAGCAAAGCAGTAACGACAAACAGGCAGACGAAAGCACATAAAGAGAACTAAAAGTGAAAGGAACAGAATCTTACTAGAACAAATGAAGCCGGAGCAGTATTCGCCGAAATCAGATGTCGGTTGTGACAGCAAAGAAAGCTTCGCAAGAATGGAAGATTAAAAGCTCAGAAATCGGTTGTGACGGCAGAGAAAGCTTCGCAAACAAAGAAGATTAAAGACAGTTGTAGAAGAGAGATTGAAGCAATGGCAGATTCGAAGAAAAAAGGGCTTTCGGAGAGAGAAGGAGCAAAAAATCAGAATGAAAAAGTGAAGAAAGAAAGGGGCAAAGAAAAGTTTTTGTCAAAAACTTAAAACGGCGGCAAAACAGGGCATTTATTGCGCCTGGAGCACCGGATACGTCAGACGGCGCAGACGGATGAAGAGACAGCCTTAAGGCGCGTCGCAGGAACGGACCAATAAAAATAAAGCATTTGAAGGGAATGGTTAGAAGTGCATGACAGCTTATGCGCGTGGGAGAGTACGTTCGAAACCTTGTTCTCCGAAGAGAACACATCGACTGGAAGAGGATTATCTCGGCTAAACAGTTTCTTGGCCATAATGCAGAAAGAAATATCAATATAGGTTCCATCACCTCAGAATGCCCTTTACGTTTGTAACGGCAATTGTGGGGATATATTTTCTGAATACCAACACGTGGCATGGTGACGCCGACGTGTCAGCCGAGGTGCCACGTGTCGTGGTAGTTAGGCCGAGGTGATCTCGGTGTTGCCGAGGTTATCTCCGAAGATATCGGAATCCGAGATAAACGAATAAGGGACAAGAGTCCTAAGACGAAAAGGGGACTTAACCAAGATAAGAATAAAGCTCTTAGGGAGTTTATCTTTATCTCTTGAGGAGTCCAAAGTAAGCACATAATTAGAGTGCATAGAAGTCATACTTCTAGCGGGACTTGGATTGAGTATATTATAAAAGAGAGGCACCCCCGTGGGTCTAAGGTATGCAATTTATGTTTTGAGTATTAAGTTTTGCACTTGATTATCTTTGAGAGATATACTGACTTGATCGTCGGAGTGCCCCCGGGTGGAAGAACCACCGCCGGAGCCTTTTCTTTCTGTTACAGGTTACTGAAGCCATCTATTCTGCCTGTGCTCTCCAGCTGGTTACTAAGCAGGCAGTGTGGTCAGATTTTCACCCACACACATACTATATTAAATTTGAATTTACACAATATATCAAGATTGTGCCTTTTTAGTTCTCAAACTTGGGTAAAAGGTATAATTATTTAATAGTCTCAACATACAACATTATTCATATGGTACTTCCAATCAATTATAACGAAAATTTTTACCAAAAAGATAATATTAACCAACCCTTGTTAAATAATTAGAAGGCAATAAATCACCCACCCTAAGTCACCAATTTCTAGAACTAGAATGGGAGCAATAGAGAGATAATTTTAAATATACTAGTCACGCGTGGCAGTCGCCCTATTGTTGATTGAGAATAAGATACACCACAATATATAGTATTGTTAAGGTATTTTTAGATAATTTTAAAGTCGTAATATCAATCTACAAATGGACTTGATTAGATATAAAAATTTAAGTTTGGGAGCATTAAATTCAAATTAAGTGTCATCTCTATATAGAAGGGAGAAAAAAAAAAAAAAGAGGGAGACACTTACTAAAAAAGAATTTGAATTTGATTTTAGGATTTCAAGTCAGACACATAAATGTTTAAATTGCTCCCAAGAAAATAGTGATGATTTAACTCTACAACCTATGAACTAATGTATGTATAAAGAAAAAGTGAAAAGAAGGTCAGGTGTGCTCATGTATAGGAGATCATCTGCCCATTCAGTGCTCTGTGACCTTTAGTCACTAAGCAAATTACCACTAAAAAAGGTGAAGTACATAAAGAAATGAACTGGTTTTGTAGACAATGTTACCGGTGGAACTCCCCTCATTCTCTTTCTGATACTGATTGTAGATTCCAACAATCCCTCAAAGAGAGAAACACGAGCTACACCATTGGATTCCAAACTCAGAGAACTAAAACGGGCGTAGGGTTCTTTTAATGATTACTTCATGAAATATCAGGTGTTTCAATCAATACCCAAAAACAGATTCCAGTTCAAAAGTCTTAAAGGAGACATGTCCCTGTATAGAGGAGGGGAAGCAAGAAATTCACCTCTTTACCAAACAAAACCAACAAAGAATTGACATTATAGTCACTAAGTCTATGTGAACAAGATATACAAAGACATTCAAAGTTAACAAACTTTGACAAGATTGCAGGACAAGGAAATACATTTGTGCAAAAGAATATATAAAAATTAGCTCCAAATGTAGCAAATTCATCCAGAATTCCTCATACCAACATTCAAAAAATGTTTTTATGAATTTTTTTTTTTTTTTTTGAAAACAAGCAATGAACTTGAATTCAATTAAAAGAAGACCTAAAAATTCAATTAGCCAGAGAAAACTAGTTTCAAAATTCAATTGAAATTCCAACCGAAAAGATGATTCAAAAGTAACCCAAAAAGGGAAAAGGAAAAAATCCAAGCAAAATCTTGAAATGAATTCAAGTACACCGTAGGAGAATCTCTACATTGAAAGAAAGCTTCAAATGTAGAACCAAACAAGTACACCATTAACAGTGCCCAAAAGAGAATGAACTGAAAAGAGACCGACAAATTGAGAAATAAAAATTTCATCCCACAACAAGGTTTACCTTATTAGCTCATTTGATTCATAAGACAATTAAAATTAAAATTTAAAATAAAAAAAAAAAATCTATGTTCTAGGCAACAAAATAGAGCATGAATTTGATGAATAAACAAAAATCAGAGGGAATGTCCTGTTTGTTCTTAACCCTGACATATCCTTTGATCCCTTGTTTCTCTTTCCTAAGCGCTTCGCCTTCTTCCCATCCCTACAACACAATTACATCTCCACACTATCAACACACACATTTACACATATATACAGATTAAAAACTTAAGATAACCACAAAAATTGTTACAAAAAAGTAAAATAGCAGGAAAATTCAATTAGTTCTATATAAACGAAAATCAATTTAACATGTTCCAAAAATTCCAAGATGTCGATAGAACAATCAATTTATATACATGCATGCATACATACACAAGTAGAAAAGAAATCTTGCTTCATTTTGCTAAAAAAGAAAAATTAGAAATTCTTCCATAGCAGCACACCAATTTCATATCCAACAATATTTGATGCAATGAACAATACAAAAACACCTAATTCATGGAAAAATTAAACAGCAACAATAGCCAAAGAAGAGGCATACATTGACACAATCAATAAAAAATATTTTAAATTTAGGCTAACTTTTAGATAAATTTGCAGAATAAAAAACAAATCCAAACTTGGATACACAAAATTAATGCAAAAATGTCTTCCTTGTACCTGATTGAAGAGCAATAGAGACAACACACAAAATGGGTCGTTTTGTACCTAAAACAAAACCAACGAAAATACAAAGTGAACCCTTCATTCAATTTTAAGAATAACAAGTCCAATCACTTAAACGAAAATTGAAATCAATGAAACATAGCAACAGAAGAAAACAAAACCAAGCCTGAAAAAACTAAGGCAACAAAGTTGAAACTATATATATTGTTTTCGACATTTTTCATATGCAAGGAATCGGGTTGACATACTTATTTCATGTTCCCACTAACTCAAGGACGTCACAAAAGATTATATAGTTTTGGACATTTTTCAAATGCATTTAGCACTTAGCTACAGATTAAAGTTGGACCTTACATGGCAAGTGGTTAAGAACTTGGATAAGACATGAATCAATTTTTTAAATTAACAAAGACATCTAATGAGGGGTGACCATTGGTTCAATGGTTAAGACTTGGCCTAATAACCTTAAGGTTATGGTTTCAAGTCTTGGGGCCACCACTTTTGTGCATTATGCTCAAAAAGGTTAGGTGTGTACTCAATCTTTTTCCTCCCAAACACACATTAACGTATACTAATTGGGCGTTGTTTTTTTAAACAAAGACATCTAATGAGATTGGAATTTCCATGAGCTAGATATTGTACTGAAACAATTAAGTTAAATACACTTCTAACGTACCTTAGAAGTTCAACACAAAGCTAGAAGTAGAATAAATTAGAAGTCATTGTAAATCGGTGGTGCCTCAACTTGAAAGTGTTTGGTTTTATAATTTTAGACCCTAGACACCTGACCATGAACAGTTGTATTTTATAAGCTATCAAGAATCTATTAGATCAGCAGCCAAGCAAAAACTTAAAACAGGAAACCGTATACAAAACAAGAGCAACCATACATAGCAGGATGTACAAATTTTGGGGTACCAAAAAAAAATAAAATAAAATAAACTGAGCAGCAAAGTATCAATGATGTCCATGGCAATATAATGATTTCCTTAAAAATTAATAACTTGGGGAAAAAAAACAAAGACATGAATATTTAGATAGAAAACATATAGACATGAACATATTCTTTCTCACTCTGACAAAGGAAAGAGAAAAGCTAATTAAAAGGGAAAAATCATATATTCAAGGAGAAAAGCTATGTTCCTACACCAAAAATAAATAAACAAATTAAAATCTATTACAGGTGAGGCAATATTTAAATAACTTTTTTTTTAAATAACACTAACTCAACCTTTTAGAATATTTGAATCAGGGCCGGCCCTGAGATCGTTGGGGCCTAAGGCAAATTTTGAAAATGGGAGCCCTTTTATATTGAAAAAAAATTTATGAATAAAACGATAAGTTACAATTTTTTTATTTGTTTGTAACCATAAAAAAATTTATTTACACATATAATTATTAAAATTATAAATAAAACAATTTAATAAAACAAAATTAGAACAAAAAAATTAGGAAAAAATTATTCAATTAAAATTGATAAAGACCTAGGTAAAAAAATTTGAGCAAAATTATTTATTCCACTAAAATCTAATAGATAAAGAAGGTAAAAATAAAAAATAAAAAAAGTGGTCCTATTTTTTTTTTAGGACAAATTTATTTATTCCACTAAAATCTGATAAAGAAAGAAGGTAAAAAAAAAAAAATTAGTGGCCCTATTTTGGGCCACTAACATTTTGTATGTGTATATAGTATTTCTCATTCAAGGACCACCAATATTTTGTATATATTTTAATTTCAATTAAGCCAAACCACACTTATAACCAAATATGGGCTCAACGGAATAATTTTGGATATTTTAGATTGGTCCTACACAACAAAAATAATTTGGGCCAATTTATATTTGTAATATACTATACTTTTCTAAATTTAAAAATCCTATTTTGGGCCAAATTTAGGGGCCCTATGTTATATATGTTTATATGTTTTACCAAATTTAGGGGCCTTATTGTTATTTATTTATATATTTTCATTTTAATAAATATGGGCCAAACACATTTATAAATAAATATGGGCTAAATTATACATGGACCCAATAAAACATTTGGAGCCCTTTAAATTGATCTTAAAACTAAAAAAAAAAATAAAATTGAACCTATAACAATTTTTTAAATTTTAGGACCTTATTTTTGGGCCAAAATATGAAGCCTAAGGCACAAGCCTTATCTGCCTTAGGCCAGGGCCGGCCCTGATTTGAATGGGTGATTAGGGGGGGCGCTGGAATTCATATTGATAGTGCCTGTATGGCTGACAATTTTTCCTACTGAATTGTTTTCTTGGCAAATATCTAGACAGATTACTTATTTGTTTTATATTTTCAACTAATATATCATACATTTCTATTGCTTCTGTGTAAAAGATACATCTACCTAGACGATTTGATGCGCTTCATGAGTAAAGATCAAGCTTTGAAGAACATGGATCTTTTTAAAGAATCAAATGAAAACAAGGGAATCAACCTGGAATCTCTCACTAAATGGATGGTAAATTATATGTTTTGAGTTTTTGCATTCACTCTATTAGCCCAAAAGGATTTTTAAGAACTCTCCTTTTGCACATGATAAGTAAACTCAAGCTGGCCTTGAGATTTTTTAGGCTCTAGGCGAACTTCTAAAATGAGACCCTTTATACAAAATCACAAATAAATAAATAACTGTGGATAAAATGATAATTACTCACAATTATTATTTTTTAAAGTCTGCTTGCTTGTATAATCAGTAAATTTATATATTAATATATATAGATGAAGATATGAAGAAAACATTACAAGAACTCAAAAAATAAAAATTTGGTCTTGTTGCTTTTAATTTAAGAAAAAGATTTCAGATTACAAGAAGGAAAAAACAAATGCAATCTAAAACTATAATACCGAATAAAAATTAAATCAACTACGACAATGTATCCCTTAAACATTATTCTGCTAGTCTGTTTAGCTACAAAAGGCTATAGAAAATATAGCGAAAGATACAAATATAAAAAATTACCTAATTTGATAATCTTCAGAACAATTCTCAAACCACTAAAAAAACATTACCTAATTTTACTCGAATTTGTATCTCCTTCAAAGCAATTGAATATTCTTCAATTTTTCTAGAATTCCAACAGGTTAATTATATAGGTGCCGTTTGGTAACACTACGTTTTCAGTTTTCTGTTTATATTTACAAAAATTTAAAAAACTCAAATAAAAACTTGTTTGGTAAAATTTTTGATTTATAAATCAGTGATCTCAGTTTATAAATTTGGCCAAAAAATGAAAACACAAAAAATGTGTTTCCATTTTGAGTTTTCAGTTTTTTTTTTTTTTATCACCCAACATTAGCCACCACCCGCCACCATTTTCCACCACCGTCTTCCGCCACCACCACCACCCTGCCACCACCACCCACCATCCACTACCACCACTACCAGCCTAAAATCAGTTGCTACCATTACCTCTCCTTCACCCCGCCACTCCATCTACTCTACCACTATCACAACTTCACCACTAATCTCCTTCGCCATCACCACTATCACCACCATCTCCTCTTGTCCACCACCTTCACCACTACTATCGTTCCCTCTCCTCTACCACAAAAAATTAGTTCATGATTTTTAATAACAAAAAAAAATGGGCCACAGAAAAATATTTTTCATTGACCA